TACCGAAAGAACCAAAGAAGATGAATCCTCGTAGTCACGAAAGCTTTAAATCGAAATGTAGACCAACTCCTCCACCGAACTGAGCGCCAAGCTGTTCCCGAGCTCGCTGTGCATGAAGCCGAGGAACGTCGCCATCGTGAACAACTTGACGCCGATCTTCTGAAGGCCACGCCGTCAGACTGCCAATACCACAAAGGTGTCTTACGTCCCTTGAGCAGCCTAATGAATCTAAACCCGCCGGCATCCTTCTCCTGCTTTGCCGAAATGATGTGCTCGGCGAGCTGCGTAAACATCACCCCTCGCCTCTCGTCTTCAACCGCCGTCTCGTCGTCGATCGGTGTCTCCAGCAAGATGTTCTCCAGCTCTTTTCGATGTGCCGGGCTGAAGCCCTCTCCAATAGAATCGAGGATCTAACAGATAGGTCAGCCCATGGGCCTTTCCGTACATGAACTGGAAGCGACTCGCTGCCAACTTGATCAGGTAGTTGCTCTCTTCAGTGGTCGCTGGGCCGTCTTCATGCAGCTTGGCAAAACTCAGCAGGGATTGCGTGAAAATCCGGAAACGCTTCAAGAGACTGATACGGAATCGGATTGATATTTAACAATCAATGCGTCGATGGGCGTGAGAATGGCGAGGGACTTCTGCAGCAGGTAGACGAAGTCGTCGCTCGTAATGACGGTCTTGATTGGCGTGCGCTCGAATTTCTGAGCTGCCGTCCCCCTCATGAAGTCGCGAGCTGTGACAATGGAATTGCAGAATCCTCTCCGACGACAGCAGCGTCTCGAGACAGCCTTTGATCGTTCCCCAACGTGTGAGAGCCGGCCGGACCAACACTCGAACGCCAGCGATCTTCTGTTCAGCCTGCAGCTGTGCCTTGAGAACGCGACTATTGTGAAACAATTTGGCCGTGTCCTTGCAACCTCACGATGAACTCAAGCAGGTACTCGAACGGATAGTCGATCGGGTATGTGCGTTCTTATCGGCCGGCTCTCTTCATCTTCGTGGAAGAGAATTTGTCCTTAACAAGCAAATGCAGACCATGCGACGTACAGCCTTTGAAATAGGATGGGTGAGCCTTCGAGAGCTGTTCCCACGCATTCTTGTTGGTGGATGTGTTGTCAGTGACCGCGCCAGCGAATGTAGTCTTCGGGTGGGACAGCCATCACACGTTGAAGATCCGAGGCGATCCAGTCAGCGTCGTGGTCCTGCTCTCCAGTGGACGCCGACTCGAGGAACAACGTTGTGGACGGCGATGTGACCGTGTAGTTCACAATCGGATCATTCTTGATGTTTGACCACGCATCAGATGTCAGGCAAACGGTCTTATTGTCCAGGACGGTGTCAACGTTCTCCTTCATGTCGATGTGCACGCCTTGTCGAGCAATGGTCCGGCCAGCCTCTTCCTGTTCGGCAGCACTGCATCTGGGCGAAGGGCCTTCACAGCCATCACCAGGTTCTCATCCTCGGCCCGCTGGAACGACGTGCCCTAGACAAAGAAATTCATTGCTGTGGCCTGCTCCAACTTCTCCTTCGTTCGCCTATCGAGCTTGGGTATTATTAGGTGATCTTTGATGGATCCTTGCTTCATCGACGAAGCATTCGATGTAGATGGAGTTGAGCTGCCTCTAACCTTCGAGGGCTTCACCCGCTTCTTGTTCGAAGCATACCACTCGGGACGATCATCTATCTCGGTGCCATTCATTGCCCTCCGTAAAGTGGCGCATGCCTTCAGGTGCCTCATCGCCCCGCTCACTCTCCTTGTGATGGTTGAATCTGGTGCGACAATGTCTGCAGACGGCACTCTTTAACTTGCGCGGTTCCGGATCATCGGTCAAGTAGTGCCAAAACTGGCCCATCAAGCGTCCTCTGGCCTACCCTGCGTTCGCCGGCGCCTCGTCGGCCACTCCATCCTTCTCCGCGTCGGCCACTCCCGTTCTTCTCCATCACAATTGCGACACCACTATCACATTCTTCGGAATCGAGTAAATCCTCATCCAGGTCCTGGATGAGGAGAGAAATTGGGTTCGTTTGATGACACTAGTAACTCAGGTAATGCCAAGATTTCTGATTTCCGGTCTCCGGCGTTCCACAGTCCGTTGCTTCAGTCAGACTTCCTGCAAAAAAAAGGCGTCTTTTTAAAATAAACCTCAAAACCTCACCCTAATTGGCCTTTCGAAATATTGAGGTTTTTCACTTAAACCTTATCAAACCTAATTGTTTTAAACCTCGCCTTGCCCCCATGTGGTGGCTACGCTGCTCGTGGTGGTGGTCGCTATGCTAGTGGTGGTGGTGGCCACGCTGGTGGTGGTGGTGGCTACGCTGGTGGTGGTGGTGGCTACGCTGGTGGTGGTGGTGGCTACGCTGGTGGCGGTGGTGGTGGGGAGCGGTGGCGTAGCAGATTTAATGCCCCGCGCTACGAACGTGGTGACCCGAGTTCAATTCCTGCCCACGGCCAACACCGGTGACGATTATGTCTGAACCCGTCCTGGGCCTCCTCCCCCTAGGTCGGCTCAGCGTCAAATGAGTAACCGGCGCGGTGTATTAACACCCACGTAGTTACCCCACGGCGTCTACAGAGGGGCTCCCTCCTTCTATGGTGGTGGAGACCCATTTCCGTCAGCCGTATCGTGAGCAACAAACCTGCACGGGGTTCTGCGCGTTCACCGTTCACACCTGGACCTGCGTCTCCCCTTCTCCCACCTTGCCCTCCCTCCCCGTCTCCCACCTCGCCCTCCCTCCCCGTCTCCCACCTTGTCCTCCCTCCCCGTCTCCCAGGGGAGCTGTGGACCGGGATTCGGGGTCCCAGATCGGGGGAGCAGGGACCCCAGCCAGGTATCCTTCCTCTGTGCGAGTCGAGTTTTATTATTGACGATTTTTGTGGGGTAATTATTTTTGCACCGGACAATGCCGCCTGAGCTGTGTTAGCTCTTTTTTTCAGAAGCGACTTGGCCACAAATGAAGCTCAACTAAGTGGCTTATCGCGTCAACATTTGTAGCAGCCAATCACTCTAATCGGACGTTGTTTCTATATGTGGAGGAAAATACTGGAGATCTCTACGTGAGTCTATGGGTCTTTACGTGAGTATATGGGTCTCTCTGTGAGTCTATTAGTATCTATGTGAGTCTATGACTCTTTCTGTGAGACCTATGGCTCTCTATGTGAGACTATGAGTCTCTGTGTGAGTCTACGGGCCTCTGTGTGAGTCCATGGGTCTCTATGTGAGTCATTAATAACCATGGTTGAGAGCATCAACTAGCAACACTTGAGAACGCTGTTTAATCTCGGGCAGCAGCTGGAACCCGGATTGGAACCCAGGCATCTCAGCAGCACCGGCTCAACCGTAACGACCCGACCCACGTTCTCATCATCAACACGACTCCATATTGGGGGGCATTGTTCAGGTCCAGGATGAAGTCGGTAACAAAGGCAAGCAAACAAAGGCAACAATTTTTATCTAAAATTTCATTTCACCAGGTGTAGACCATGAGCTACTACGTAAGCTCTTTTTTTCAGAAGCGACCTGGCCACAAATGATAGATCAACGAAGTGGCTGATCAACACGCGGGCATTTTTCGCAAGTCAAGTACGCATGTTTCTAAATGTGGAGGGGAAAAAAACCGGAGGATCCGGAGAAAAATCCCCGCCGATGACGGGGAGAGAGACACGCAAACTCCACATATACAGCAGCAGGCGTCAGGGTCGAGATCAGACCCACGACCTCCTGTATACCAGGCGAGGTAGTTAACATCTCCTAGCCACCGTGATGATGATGAGAGAGAGAGAGACACGCAAACTCCAAATATACAGCAGCAGGCGTCAGGGTTGGGATCTAAACCACGACCTCTGGTACACCAGGCGAGGTAGTTAACATCTCCTAGCCACCGTGATGATGATGAGAGAGAGAGAGACACGTAAACTCCAAATATACAGCAGCAGGCGTCACGGTCGGGATCAGACCCACGACCTCCTGTATAACAGGCGAGGTAGTCAACATCTCCTAAGCCACCATGTTCATTTAGTGTGTATTGGCCTGTTCTGAGTCAACGGTGCTGTGTAACTCGGGGAAGAGGCAGCAGAGAACGTGTTCACTGTTCGACACCTGCTCCCGTGTGTGTGTGACGTGTCGGGTGATACAGGCCTCGCCCAGTGGCCCCCTAAACCCCCCCCCCCCAATTTTGGTTATATTATCCCCCTTACCTGGTACGCAGGAGGTAGTCTGTTCGATTCCTATCCCGATCCCGACGCCTGCTGTATATTTGGAGTTTGTGTGTGTGTGTGTGTCTCTCTCTCTCTCCCAGTGGTCGCGTGGATTATTATCCAGATCCTCCGGTCTTTCCCTTCCACATTTAGAATCAACGTCGCGCGTTTAGATTATTTGGCCGCTTATATATTTCCACACGATGGCATGAGCCACTTCGTTGGGCTATCATTCGCGGCCAGGTCGCTTCTGAAAACGAGCTACATGAGCTAAATCTGGCCTTCCCCCGCGCCTCCGATTAGCACGGTTGGCTACGTACGGTGCGAAAGAAGTTCAACATACACACAACAAAGACTCCCCATTATAGCCTTAACAGACTGTTGGGGCAAGTGCTGTTAGCGAGCACCTACAAAGGCCAGAACGGTACACGACGGGGGTGGGTGGTCAGCAACAACGCCCGACCGCTTTTGTCTCCCCGGTGGCGATGTTTACTATACAGCTACTCAGTTGAGGCTGAGTCGACCTAGGGGAGCCCCAGGACCGGTTCAAATAATCGTCACCGGTGTTGGCCGTGAGCGGGAATCGAACCCGGGTCGCCGGGTTCGTAGCGCGGCGTAGCGCTAACCGCTACACTACCGCCGCTCCCCACATACAAGCACACGCACACACGTGCACAGCTGGACAATAAAATAATTTCGTTTGAGATCTCAATCCCACCCACCACCTCGTGACGCCGACTCGCGGGGTACCGCCAGCGTCTCGCGTTGTCCACCGCAGTGCATTGCGGCTCTGGCAGTAGTGATGGGCGGTTGTGTCTTTCTTTAGCGAATCGCACCTCCACCCCCAAAATCCCCACCCCAAAGGGAATGCCTCTTGTTGTTGCTTTGGTTGCGGGCCCCCTAGATTACGACTACATCAGTGCCCCCCACAATAATTACCATCTACTGATGCCCCCTTCCCCTATCCCCCCTCTCCCCCCCCCTTTACCCCCCCTCCCCCTCCCCCCCATCCCCTCTTCCCATCCCTCCCCTATCCCCCCTCTATACCCCTCTCCCCCCTCCCCTCTATCCCCTCTCCCCCCACTATCCCCCCTCTATCCCCCTCTCCCTCCTCCCCTCTATCCCCCTCTCCCCACCCCCCACCCCCCCCTCTATCCCCCCCTCTCCGCGCCGCGTCCCATTCACAGGCGACCCCCCCCAGCTCCCAGCGGCACCCCCCGCCCTGGGGCCCCCACCCCCTCTCCTCCACCTGCACCCCGCCCCGCGCCTGCCCCCCGGCTGGGTCACGACCCCCGAGGCTGGGGGTGGGTGGAGGTCGCAGGCACCTCGAGGTCACGGTTCGACTCCCGGCTCGGGGCTCGAGTTGCTGAGGGCGCGACTGCTGCTTCACGGCGGCGCCTGTACCTGCGTGCAGTGCAAAAAGGTGAGGCAAGGGCAATGACAAAGGTCCACCACCCTCACCGTTGTAGCCTCAGCAGATGGTTGGGGCAAGTGCAGTCAGCGAGGTAGAAGCGGCGACGACGCCGGCCCGGCATGGCGCTCCCGGAGAATTTTGTTCCCACCGAATGCCGACGTTTGACACGTGGGTAGCCGGGACGCGATTTTATTTATGTTTGTTGGGGCCGAGTCGATCTAGGGGGAGGCCCAGGACCCGCTGTTGGCCGTGAGCGTGGAATGGAACTCGGGTCGGCGGGTTCGTATCGCGGCGCCAGCGCGCTAATTGCGGCGCCACCGCTCCCCCGCAGGAGCGGGCAGGGGCACCTTTCACGCTGAGCGTGGTGGCTAGGAGATGTTGACTACCTCGCCTGGTATACAGGAGGTCGTGGTTTCGATCCCGACCCTGACGCCTGCTGTGTATTTGGAGTTTGCGTGTCTCTCTCTCTCATCATCACCACGGTGGCTAGGAGATGTTAACTACCTCGCCTGGTGTACAGGAGGTCGTGGTTTCCATCCCAACCCTGACGACTGCTGCTGTATATTTGGAGTTTGCGTGTCTCTCTCTCTCTATCATCATCACGGTGGCGAGGAGATGTTAACTACCTCGCCTGGTATACAGGAAGTCGTGGTTTCGATCCCGACCCTGACGCCTGCTGCTGTATATTTGGAGTTTGCGTGTCTCTCTCTCTCATCATCATCACGGTGGCTATGAGATGTTAACTACCTCGCCTGATATACAGGAAGTCGTGGTTTCGATCCCGACCCTGACGCCTGCTGCTGTATATTTGGAGTTTGCGTGTCTCTCTCTCTCTCTATCATCATCATCACGGTGGCGAGGAGATGTTAACTACCTCGCCTGGTATACAGGAAGTCGTGGTTTCGATCCCGACCCTGACGCCTGCTGCTGTATATTTGGAGTTTGCGTGTCTCTCTCTCTCATCATCATCACGGTGGCTATGAGATGTTAACTACCTCGCCTGGTATACAGGAAGTCGTGGTTTCGATCCCGACCCTGACGCCTGCTGCTGTATATTTGGAGTTTGCGGTGTCTCTCTCTCTCTCTCCACGAGGTTGCGTGGATTTTTCTCCGGGTCCTCCGGGATTTCCCTCCTCATTAAGAATCAACACCACGCGTTTACGATGATGATGATGATGGTGGTAAGCCACTTCCGTTGAGCTATCATTTGTGGTAGTCAGGTCGCTTATCAAAAAGAGCTACGTAACTCAGTGGGGCCTTAACCTTGAAAAATAAAATAAAAAGTTTAGATCTTAGTTTAGAATCCGGACTTGGCCACGGGAATTCCAATGTGTCAGGCACGCGAGACGCGGGATCTGTGCCTCTGCAGGGACTCTTCAACTTACGAACGAGTTAGGTTCCAGATGATGTCTGTTTCTTAAGTCGAATGTTCCTAAGTGGAATATTCGTAAGTAGAGGACTCCCCGTACCTGTTGCGCGTGCGCGCGCGCGCTGCTGCCCCTCCCCGCCAGGTGTTCTCCACGCCGCACGGCCTCGAGGTGCACGTGAGGCGCGCGCACAGTGGAGCGAGGCCCTTCGCGTGCGCTCGCTGCGACCGCAGCTTCGGCCACGAGCACAGCCTGGAGCAGCACCACGCCACGCACACACAGGTAGCAAAACTGCTCGTGATGATGATGTTGATGATGATGATGCAGCCACCATCACACCCATCACAACCATCACCACCATCACCAACACAGAGCCTGGAGCAGCACCACGCCACGCACACACAGGTAGCAAAACTGCTCGTGATGATGATGATGTTGATGATGATGATACAGCCACCATCACCACCACCACCAACACCACTACCACAGAGCCTGGAGCAGCACCACGCCACGCACACACAGGTAGCAAGACTGCTCGTGATGATTTTGTTGATGATGATGATGATACAGCCACCATCACAACCATCACCACCACCATCACCAACACCACCAACACAGAGCCTGGAGCAGCACCACGCCACGCACACACAGGTAGCAAGACTGTTCGTGATGATGATGCAGCCACCATCACAACCATCAGCACCACCAACACCACCATCACAGAGCTTGGAGCAGCACCACGCCACGCACACGCAGGTAACCGGCACTGCTCACGATGATGATGTTGATGATGATGCTGGTGATGATGAAGCCACCACCATCACAATGACAGCGACGAAGGTGACAGCGGCAAAAGGATGGTTACTGGGTGTCCCAATCGCCGTTTGTTTGGTTAAAAAGTGCTGATCATTTGATTTAAAATCAAATTCGAGAAGTCACAGGGTCAACAGCAATGTGGTCTCAACGCCCTTCCAATGACGAAAGTTTAATGATCATTTTTAAACGTAAACAAAAAAAGAAGAGCTTCTTTGTTATGAATCCATGACCGGGTGAAGGCCTTGCTCACCAAACCAGGTCGGTGACGGTGGATTATTTGACCATACTTCACCACGCTGGTCAGTGCGGGCTGCTAAAGGCGGCGATCGAGACAGGTTCAGGCATCGCTCGTCACGCGGTGCTTATGGCCCTGGCCGGGATTCTAACTCAGGTGGCGAAGGTTCGTTTCAAAGCGCAGTGCGCCAAACCACTAAAGGGCTCCTCCCATCAGCCATCCACGGAGGGAGCAGGCAACTTGGCTCCCGTAATTCCTCAAATCAGTTTCGAGCAGAAAAGCACGATTTGTGGGGCAATGATTCCTGCAAATTGAGGAGGTGTTCGATTTCTGTGCAAACGTTCAGTAAGCAGATCCTGCGAATTCTGTTTAAACAGCTGCTCCCATTATTTGATGATTGTCCACTGTTATTGTATCGGCCTCCGACGCCTTGGGGGGGGGGGGGGGGCTGAGTTTTCATGCCGGTGGCTAGGAGATGTTAACTCCCTCGCCTGGTATACAGGAGGTGGTGGGTTCGATCCCGACACTAACGCCTGCTGCTGTATATTTGGAGTTTGCGTGTCTCTCTCTCTCTTATCATAATCACGGCGGCTATGAGATGTTAACTACCTCGCCTGGTACACAGGAGGTCGTGGGTTCGATCCCGACCCTGACGCCTGCTGCTATATATTTGGAGTTTGCGTGTCTCTCTCTCATCATCACGGTGTCTAGGAGATGTTAACTACCTCGCCAGGTCTACAGGAGGTCGTGGGTTCGATCCCGACCCTGACGCCTGCTGCAGCTGTATATTTGGAGTTTTCGTGTCTCTCTCTCCCCGTGTTCGCGTGGATTTTTCTCAAGGTCTTCCAGTTTTTTCCCCCCTCCACATTTAGAATCAACGTCACGCTTATATATGTCCACTCGACGATGACGTCATCGTAACCGGAAGCGTTAGGCCCGTGGGCGTTGTCAAAGTCCAGCCAATCGGAGGCGCCCTAAACGTTCCCGCCCCCCCCCGCGCTCGCGGACGCAAACCGCACGTTCCGCGAGCGCGTGCGCTCATTGGCCTGGCGGGCGCGTGACGTCACACAGCCCGTAAGCCGAGGCTCGTCGAGATTGTCGCCCGAACGCGACCATTCACCACGCACGCATGCACAGCACGTCCGCCCGTGTTGTGTGTGTGTGTGCATGTTTCATAGTTTCATAGTTTTCATAGTTTCATTTATTTGGTATAGCCCTGTGAGCCATTCGGCTCTTGAATCGGGTGCAACCGCAACAAACAAAAAAAAACAAAACACGAACAAGAAAGTATCTTAAAGTGACTACGTGCTGTGCAAACAGACAATCCAGGAGAAAAATAATCAAAATATTCCTGAAATAGCACCGTACACAACCAACGCTGTGTGCAAAAAATCCCAGTGGGATGCAAGTCAAACAACAACAACAACAACCACAAGAAAAACTTAGATTAAGGCCATCAGTCTAACTCCGTACTACAATAAACAAAAACATGGCCGAACCAAAAAACTTTTAGAAATCACCAAAATAAAGGCATGAATGCAATGTAACAGCGATCATAGAATGTTGAGCGGCGGTGGAGCGGTTAGCGCCACGCTGCGCTACGAACCCGGCGACCCAACTTCGATTCCCGCTCACGGCCAACACCGGCGACGATTAATTTGAACCGGTCCTAGGCGTCCCCCTAGGTCGACTCGGCCTCAAGTGAGTACCTGGGTGCGGTGCTGAGTAAACGTCGCCGCCGGAGAGACAAAGGCGGCCGGGCTTGGTGCTGGCCACCCACCCCCTCGTGTGCCACAGTTCGGGCCTTCACAGGTGCTACTCAGCTCACAGCACTTGCCCCCTACAGGTATGTTCAGGCTATACGGGGGATCTGTTTGTCTTTGACTTGTGTGTTGAACCTCGTTCGCACCGTCCCCAGCCGACCGTGCTAAACGGAGGTGCGGTTCGCGGTAGCGTCATAGCAAGGCGCTCTGTCCACACCCCCCCCCCCCCCCCCCCCATCGAATGCACCTCGTGGTCGCATCGTCGTCCTTACCTGAGAAGTGTTTTATTTTCTTCCTCCCGTGGGGTTGCGGTGGCATTGATCTCTCTCTCTCTCTCGCTCTCTCTCATTTGTCGGACATTGTCCAAACGGGAATATAAGCTAAACTATATTTTTTTGTAAAATAAATAGCAAGTAAGTGCGCACTGAGCTATTATGTGGCTCCTTTTCAGAAGCGACCCGGCATTCACGTCGTGATAAGCCCCAATGAAGGGGCTTAACACGACGTGGAAATTCAAAACAGCCAAACGCTCTCAACGCCACGTTTCTAAATGTCGTGGGAAAAACCGCAGGACCCGGAGAAAAATCCACGCGACCATGGACAAAGAGAGAGAGACACGCAAACTCCAAATATACAGCAGCAGGCGTCAGGGTCGGGATCGAACCCACAACCTCCTGTATACCAGGAAAGATAGTTAACATCTCCTAGCCACCGTGGTGATGATGAGAGAGAGAGACACGCAAACTCCAAATATACAGCAGCGGGCGTCAGTGTCAGAACCGAACCCACGACCTCCTGTATACCAGGCGAGGTAATCAACATCTCCTAGCCACCGTGATGATGATGAGAGAGAGACACGCAAACTCCAAATATACAGCAGCGGGCGTCAGGGTCGGGATCGAACCCACAACCTCCTGTATACCAGGCGAGGTAATCAACATCTCCTAGCCACCGTGATGATGATGAGAGAGAGAGAAACGCAAACTCCAAATATACAGCAGCAGGCGTCAGTGTCGGAATCGAACACACAACCTCCTGCGCACCAGGCGAGGTAGTTAACATATCGCGGCACTCCAGTCACTGTAGGGATCAAGATAAAGTCCTATCACTGATTCCATGGCCTTGTCGCTATCAGGGTCCACCTCGCTGCCTCAACAGTTACCAATTGCGATGTAACAGCCATCGCACCCGCGATTTGTGGAAATCAAATGAAACGCGAGACGCGAACGGGCGAAGACCGAATGCCATTCGCGACGTGTTTGACAAATAAATGAAAGTGATTGTTTGAGCAACACAATACCCTAATAATTGCCCAATGTAGATGCACACATACGGTGCCAATTCACTGCAGGCGCAACATGGATGAGGATAATTAAATAAAGAGGAAGACGAGACGGCGGGTAGATGGCTTTAAAAAAAAATAAGTTCACTTGATAACGAAACGCATTTGGGTGCACAATACCCGCACTGGCTCATGGTGAGTGGTTAAGTTGTTGAGTTAATGGTTGAGCGAGTGTTTGTGCTCATTGCGTCGTTGAGTGGTGGTGCCGGTGAGTGGTTGAGTGGTGGTGTGAGTGGTAGAGTGAACGGTGAGTGGTTCAGTGGTTGAGTTAATGGTTGAGCGGGTGCTCGTTGCGTGGTTGAGTGGTGGTGCTGGTGAGTGGTTGAGTGGTGGTATTAGTGAGTGGTAAAGTGGTTGTGCTGTAGTTTAGTGGTTGTGTTGAGCTGGTGAGTTTCCCTGTTAGGGAGTGAGTTGTCGTGTGGGTGGTTGAATGATTGTTAGGGAGTGAGTGAGTGGCCGTGTGGGTGGTTGTGTGGTTAAGTGGTTGAATGTTTGTGTGGTTATGTGGGTGGTTATATGGTTAAGTGACTGTGTGGTTGGTTGTGTGGTTGGTTGTGTTGTTAAGTGGTTATGTGGTCATCTGGTTGGTTAAGTGGTTGAGTGGCTGTGTGGTTGGCTGCCGTGTGTGCAGGAGCGCAGCTTCGCGTGCGACATCTGCGGCAAGGCGTTCAAGCGCTCGTCCACGTTGTCCACCCACCTGCTCATCCACTCGGACACGCGGCCCTACCCCTGCGCCTTCTGCGGCAAGCGCTTCCACCAGAAGTCCGACATGAAAAAGCACACCTTCATACACACAGGTGAGACACACGCACACCTACACAACAACAACCGCCAATCGCCACTAAGTGGCGGTGACGTCACCACGACGCTTGTGCCAGGCCATGTGCACCTTGAGGCCACGTGATTTGTCGAATGCCCGCTGGCAGGAGGTCACGGGGCAGACACAAGTGCCACGGGTCGACTGACTGAGATGACTGGCTGATGCACCACCTGTGCCCCCTACTGTGCCAACCTGCTGTGCTTTAGCCACCCGGCGCTCGGGTCGTTGTTGTGAGCGTCGCTCCTACGCCCTCCGTTGTTGTTGGAGGGCGACTGCCTCCAACTGCCCAGTAGCGTCCTTCACGAGCCTACTCCACAGAGGCCGATCTTGACACCGCTGGTACCAGTCATCGGCAAGTCCACTCAGCTCCACGTCCTCCTGTACCACATCACTCCATCTCTTCTCTAGCCCGTGCGCGCCCGTTTAGCCCCCTCGATCCGGCCGAACAAAAGCTGTTTCGGCATGCGGTGGCTGGGCATGCGGACTACATGACCCAGCCAACGCGGCCTTGCCTGCCGGAGGAGCTCACCGATGGGATCTTGCCCAGATCTTTCAAGCATTTGTGAGCTCCTCACACAATCCAGCCTGGTTAAACCCAGGATGGATCGTAGGCAGGCCAGCCTAAATGTTTCTAACCGGCGAAGATGTTCCATTAGGGGGGTCCATGTTTCGCAAGCGTAGAGAAGGGAGGGAATGACCATGGCCGAGAAGACCTGAAGCTTAGTGTGGAGCGACAGACCAGGTAGCTTCCACACAGCGTAACGTAACCGATGAAAATATATTGCCGCTCTACTGATTCGGAGTGAGACCTCTGCTGTTAAACTGGAGCCGGTCATAAGCACACTGCCCAGGTATGGGAAACTCTCCACTCTCTCCACAACTGCCCCATCGCCGATTGGGAGTTGTGGGGGTGGAGTGTCCGATGGTACAAAATACCCAGGCAGGTGCTTAGTTTTGGTGCTGCTGATGGTAAGACCCCATCTCTTAGTGGCATGCTCCAGTCTCAGCAGCAGCGTCTCCAACTCTTCCTCTGAATGAGCAGCTATTACCAAATCATCGGCATACATAACGTGGTTGAGCAATAGGTAGCCATCCTTTGATCGCACCCGGGCATCGATCAGCCTGCAATTATATCTGTACCAAATGGAGATTCCCCCGGTACAGCTATTGAAGGCTTCATGAACTACGTGGTCAAAATAGATGTTAAATAATCTGGGAGCCAGAGGACATCCCTGTCGCACCCTAAGGTGTACAGGGAATGGCTTTAACTCCCGGCCACGTAGTTTTACCCTGACCCGCTCACCATCATGAAGGTCCTTAATGATCATGAGCAGAGGGTCAGCGACTCCAAAAGCACGAAGAACAACCCTGAGCCCAGGCCTACTGATGGTATAATAGGCCTTGACTAGGTCAATAAAGCAGAAATGTAGGTCTTGCTGGAATTCCCTACACCTCTGCTGTAGCAGACGGACAGAAAATATGGCATCTGTGCAGGACCGCCCTTTCCTGAAACCGCATTGGGGCTCTGCAAGTCTCTCTCAGCGTGCCTGGCAAGGCGATGTTGAATAATCCTTGCAAGGACCTTTCCCGGCACACTGAGGAGTGAGATGCCCCTGTAGTTGTTACAGTCTGTGAGGTCCCACTTCTTAAAAAGGGGGACCACCAGGGCATCCTTCGAATCCTGCAGAACCCGTCCAGTAGTCCAGACTGTAAATATGATGGCATATAGGGCAGTCTGTGCACAAACGCCACCCACCCTCAGCATTTCGCTTGGGAGATCATTTCTGCCCGGTGCCTTTCCTGGTCTCAGACTCTTGATTGCCTTTAGTACTTCCTCAACAGATGGCACCTCAGCCAGCCACTCACAGGGGGTGACTTCTTCCAATTTTTGAGGCACCGCAGCCTCAGCAGGTTCATCCCCACTTTGTGCCACGATGTTTTCCTGGCTGAGGGATTTCCCCTCCCCCAGGAGCTCACAGAAATGCTCAGCAAATCTGCAAACCTGTTCCTGGGGGTCGGAGATTGTATCACCGTTTTTTCCCCTAATGATGGTAATAGGTGTGGCCCTGCAGGTTACTTTTTTGATGGAGTTAAATAGAGATTTGTGATCGCGGGCCACTGAGGCAGACTCCATCTCCTCAACAACCCGCGCCCACCACCCATCCTTGCAACGCCTCATGGCTCTCCGAACCTCCGAGTGAGAGCTGCGGTAAGCCTCCTCATTCTCTGACGTGGGATTCTGTAGCCGATGACAGTGTGCCTGTCGCTTTTTCTCAACTATCCTGAACACCTCCTCTGTCAGCCAGGGTCTCTGGGGAGGTCTGGACCATATACCCAAAGCGGCCATTGCAGCTGTTTGAGTCACAGTCCTAAACCTCGCTCATTTACCCTCGACATCAGGAGGAATGGGGGACGATGCCAACCCCAGTCGCAAGCGATGATGAAATTCTCGCTTGAAACTTTCATTAGATAACTGAGACCAGGCAACTTTAGGTTGGAATGGGGTCCTGAGTGTACACCCACCACCGGAGTAGAACAATGGCAGGCGCATCTTACAGATGACTAGTCAATGGTCAGAGGGCAGTTCAGCTCCACGGTAGGTCCTGGTGTCAAGGATATGGGCTCACATCCGCTGGTCCGTCACTATGTAGTCCAGCAGATGTTCTTGCTTGGACCCGGCATGCATCCATGATGTTGTGTGGATGCTCCGATGCCGGAACAGCGTGTTGGTAATTACAAGCCCATGGGCTGCACAAAAATCTAGCAGCCTCCTACTGTTGTTATTAAGCTAATCTGGCCTATGCCCTCCAATCACTCCAGACCAGGTGCCAGCATCATGACCAACTCGGGCATTGAAGTCACCCAACAAGATAACTCTATCCCGAGGGGCCACTTTAGCCAGCACCTGTGACAGGAGGTCATAGCAGGCATCTGACTCATCGGTATTGCCTGCATCCCTCCACGAATAATCGTCTTCGGTGGAGGCATCAGTAACCACGATCACCACTCCTCGCCTCCGGTTGATGGGAAGGCAAGCCCAAAGTCGCCTGGGGCTTACAGCTTCCCACACCTCACCGCCACGCTCCCACGCCCCCTTCATTTTTCTGTTCAAAAGAAGAGCCACACCCTGTTGTTTGGCAGTCTGCTGCCCCGAGTAGAGGACTGTCCACCCCTCATGGTGGCAGGAGCCAGAACCGGTCCACCGGACCTCCTGAATGCCACAGAGATCCAGATGGTACCGGTCCAGCTCCAGACAAATAAGTGGCAGCCTCTCCTCCGCAGTGAGCATTCGAACATTCCACGTGGCCACACGAATTGGCTTTTCGTTGTTACTGGAGGAGCCCCGAGGGTAGAGATTCAATTTCCTGGCTCCGCCAATTGGGGTTTGGCCAGGAGACTTCATAGACGCCTGTCCCCCCGGGGCCTCCGGCACAAGCTTATTAGTTACATTTTTAATTTGTGGTTTCGTGGTAAAATTTTGAAGGTGGAGGGGTTACCAGCCCCTCGCACCCATCCAGTGCCCCCGTTTAGCCACTGTGGTGGTCACAGACGCCATGAGGGGAGGGGCCAATCGGAATTGGCCTTCCCCCCACAGCACTGCCCACGACAGAGTTGCCCGTCCGCCATCGCGAGGAGGTAGGGGGTTGTGTTGCCGGACACACACACACACAGGTGACACAAACACAGGTGACACACACACGTGACATACACACACAGGTGATACACACGTGTGACACACACACAGGTGACACACACAGGTGATACACACAGGTGACATATACATGTGACACACACAGGTGATACACACAGGTGACACACACAGGTGACACACACACAGGTGACACACACAGGTGATACACACAGGTGACACACACAGGTGACACACACACAGGTGACACACACAGGTGATACACACAGGTGACACGCACACAGGTGATACACACACAAGTGACACACACAGGTGATACACACAGGTGACACACACAGGTGACACACACAGGTGATACACACAAACGTGATACACATACAGGTGACACACACAGGTGACACACACAGGTGATACACACACGTGATACACACAGGTGACACACACACAGGTGATACACACACAGGTAACACACACAGGTGACACACACAGGTAACACACACACAGGTGATACACACAGGTAACACACACAGGTGACAGTTACAGGTAACACACACAGGTGATACACACATAGGTATCACACACACAGGTCAAACACACAGGTGACACACACAGGTGACACACACACACACAGGTAACACACACAGGTGATACACACACAGGTAACACACACAGGTGACACACACAGGTAACACACACAGGTGACACACACAAAGGTGACACACACAGGTGACACACACACACAGGTGAGACACACAGGTGACATACACACAGACAGGTGACACACACACAGGTGACACAAACACAGGTGACACACACAGGTGACATACACACAGGTAACACACACAGGTGACACACACACACAGGTGACACACACACAGGTGATACACACACAGGTGATACACACGCAGGTGACACACACACACACACAGGTGATACACACAAAGGTGACACACACACACAAGTGACATAGACACAGGTGGTACATACTGAACCGACCCACCATCCCCCCCACCCCAATCGTGTTACTTCCCGTGCGCGTCGCGCGCACACACACACACAGGAGAGAAGCCTCACAAGTGCTCCGTGTGCGGCAAGGCGTTCAGCCAGAGCTCCAACCTCATCACGCACTCCCGCAAACACACTGGCTTCAAGCCCTTCGCCTGCGACCTCTGCGGCCGCGGCTTCCAGCGCCGCGTCGATTTGCGGCGCCACCGCGACGCGCAGCACGGGGGCGAGGGGGTCGCGGGGGGCGAGGGGGTCGTGGGGGGCAAAGGGGGCGAGGGGGGCGAAGGGGGCAAGGGGGTCGTGGGGGGCGAGGGGGAGTCGCGGGGGTCGACATCATCTGAAACTGCTGGACGTGTGTGAAAGAAGAGCTTCATTGCTCGTCGGATTCCTCCGGTAGAAATAAATATTCTGATTGTGATTCTGCGTGCGTGTCACTTGCGTGTGTGTGTCACCTGTGTGTGTGTCACCTGTATGTGTATCACGTTTGTGTGTGTCACCTGTGTGTGTCACCTGTGTGTGTGTCACCTGTATGTGTATCACGTTTGTGTGTGTCACCTGTGTGTGTCACCTGTGTGTGGTGTGTGTCACCTGTGTGTGTGTCACCTGTGTGTGTGTGTGTGTGTCACTTTCGTGTGGGTCACCTGTGTGTGTGTCACCTGTGTGTGTGTCACCTGTGTGTGTCACCTGTGTGTGTGTCACTTTTGTGAGTGTCACCTGTGTGGGTGTGTCACCTGTGTGTGTCACCTGTGTGTGGTGTGTGTCACCTGTATGTGTGTGTCACCTTTGTGTGTGTCACCTGTGTGTGTGTGTCACCTGTGTGTGTCACCTGTGTGTGTGTGTCACCTGTGTGTGTCACTTTTGTGTGTATCACCTGTGTGTGTGTCACCTGTGTGTGTGTCACCTGTGTGTGTCACCTGTGTGTGTGTGTCACCTGTGTGTGTCACCTGTGTGTGGTGTGTGTCACCTGTGTGTGTGTCACCTGTGTGTGTGTCGCCTGTGTGTATCACCTGCGTGTGTGTCATCTGTGTGTGTGTGTCACCTGTGTGTGTGTGTCACCTGTGTGTGGTGTGTGTCACCTGTGTGTAGTGTGTGTCACCTGTGTGTGTGTGCGTCACCTGTGTGTGTGTCACCTTTGTGTGTGTCACCTGTGTGTGTGTCACCTGTATGTGTCACTTTTGTGTGTATCACCTGTGTGTGTGTTACCTGTGTGTGTCACTTGCGTGTGTGTCACCTGTTTGTGTGTGACCTGTGTGTGTGTCACCTGTGTGTGGTGTGTGTCACCTGTGTGTGGTGTGTGTCACCTGTGTGTGTGTCACCTGTGTGTGTGTGTGTAACTTTTGTGTGTGTCACCTGTGTGTGTGTCACCTGTGTGTGTGTCACTTTTTTGTGTGTCACCTGTGTGTGTGTCACCTGTGTGTGGTGTGTGTCACCTGTGTGTGTGTCACCTGTGTGTGTGTCACCTGTGTGTGTGTCACCTGTGTGTGTCATCTGTGTGTGTGTCACTTTTGTGAGTGTCACCTGTGTGTGTGTGTCACCTGTGTGTTTCACCTGTGTGTGTGTCACTTTTGTGAGTGTCACCTGTGTGTGTGTGTGTCACCTGTGTGTGTCACCTGTGTGTGGTGTGTGTCACCTGTGTGTGTGTCACCTTTGTGTGTGTCACCTGTGTGTGTGTGTCACCTGTGTGTGTCACCTGTGTGTGTGTCACCTGTGTGTGTCACTTTTGTGTGTATCACCTGTGTGTGTGTCACCTGTGTGTGTGTCACCTGTGTGTGTGTCACTTTTGTGTGTGTCACCTATGTGTGTGTGTCACCTGTGTGTGTCACCTGTGTGTGGTGTGTGTCACCTGTGTGTGTGTCACCTGTGTGTGTGTCGCCTGTGTGTATCACCTGCGTGTGTGTCATCTGTGTGTGTGTGTCACCTGTGTGTGTGTCACCTGTGTGTGGTGTGTGTCACCTGTGTGTAGTGTGTGTCACCTGTGTGTGGTGTGTGTCACCTGTGTGTGTGTGCGTCACCTGTGTGTGTGTCACCTTTGTGTGTGTCACCTGTGTGTGTGTCACCTGTATGTGTCACTTTTGTGTGTATCACCTGTGTGTGTGTCACCTGTGTGTGGTGTGTGTCACCTGTGTGCGTGTACGTCACCTGTGTGTGTGACGTGTGTGTGCGTCACCTGTGTGTGGTGTGTGTGTGTGCGTCAACTGTCTGTGTGACCCGCCCCCTACCGGACACGTGTGAAAAAGAGCTTCATAGCTCATCGGATTCCATCCTCCAGTCGAAAATAAATATTACAATTGAGTCTGACGCCCACCCCGGCTCGAACTGAGCACGATGCTCCTCTCGACGACGCTTGAGGACTTCCAAGACGCTCGCAGGCCGCTTGATTCTCCTTCTTTCCGTACGGCTGCTGTTGGAGATGCAGAGCCAACAACGAATTCTGATTGTCACCCGAACACGTGACGAACGTTCAGGTGGTCAAGCCACTGACAACCGCGTCAGGAGCCAGTTGCATTGCTGTGATGTCTTCTTCGTATTTGTGGATCGGGGCATTATTGCGTCGGTATACGTTGCACGGTCTGTGTTGAGCCTATGGTGTAGTGATGAGTCTATGGGCAGTGTTGAGTCTATGGGTAGTGTTGAGTCTATGGGTAGTGTTGAGTCTATGGGTAGTGTTGAGTCTATGGGCAGTGTTGAGTCTATGGGCAGTGTTGAGTCAATGGGCCGTGCTGAGTCTATGGACTGCAGTGCTGAGTCTATGGACTGCAGTGCTGAGTCTATGGGCAGTGCTAAGTCTATGGGTAGTGTTGAGTCTATGGACTGCAGTGCTGAGTCTATGGGCAGTGCTGAGTCTATGGACTGCAGTGCTGAGTCTATGGACTGCAGTGCTGAGTCTATGGGTAGTGTTGAGTCTATGGACTGCAGTGCTGAGTCTATGGACTGCAGTGCTGAGTCTATGGGCAGTGCTGAGTCTATGGACTGCAGTGATGAGTCTATGGACTGCAGTGCTGAGTCTATGGACTGCAGTGCTGAGTCTATGGACTGCAGTGCTGAGTCTATGGACTGCAGTGCTGAGTCTATGGACAGTGCTGAGTCTATGGACTGCAGTGCTGAGTCTATTGGCAGTGCTAGTCTATGGACTGCAGTGCTGAGTCTATGGGCTGAGTCTATGGACTGCAGTGCTGAGTCTATGGACAGTGCTGAGTCTATGGACTGCAGTGCTGAGTCTTTCACATTCTGGCTGTCAACCCCAGACAACCGCGCCAGTGTATAGCTGTGATATCTCCATGGGTCTGTGCGTTTCTGTGAGTCTCTATGAGTCTGGATCTCTATGGATTGTTACTAGTCTCTTCTTCTTCCGTATGGCTGCTGCTGATGATGTCGGTGCAGAGCCAGCAACATACAATGTCACATTCAGGTGGTCAAGCCAGCAGATGACCGCGTCAGGAGACAGCGGAGAAGTCGTTTCATCGTCATCATCGCTCTTGACGTCTCCTTTGTCGTATTTGCGGATCGCGGCATTGTTGCATCGTTAGTCCTTGTCACGGTATGTCCTTCCTGCATGACCCAAGTCGCCACACCGTCTACCGGAGAGTTTTTATTTTGGTTTAACACGTAGGCTTTCGCGACCAATATTATTCATAATAAAGGTTTTTGGGTTAGATCGCGTTTATTTATAAATGTGTCGTAACCCTCCACCACCCGACACGGCCAATCAGCAAAAAAAAGTGTCACGTTGACGAAAGACAAAAATAATTCACTACTTTAGCCCACCGGTGTGTTGAAGAGTGAATCCACATTTACAGTTTGAGTACGACGTTTCGCTGGTAATTACATCCAGCATCATCGGGCAATTCGCCAGAATGGTAAAGCCCTCGCTTGCTCCCGGTTTTATATAGAGCAGCAGGGTGACGTCACCACTTAACTCATATCAGGTGCAGTTTTTAATTTTTTAAATGTTTCCATTTGTGCATCAAGGTATCATCCGCACCTCGTGCTGCTTGCTTGCTGCCGTGGCTTGTGCAGTGGATGATGTTTGTTTGCGAGGTTCTCTTTGAACTCCGTTCGGCTCTCCAGGCTCGGCCGCATTTACATCATCAGAGGTCTCCACGGGCCGCTAACCGTGCAGACGCTCCATCGCGTCTGAGTCATCCACCGTCGGATTAAATCCACCAACACCACCGTGCACATCACGGGCGCTGCGATGTAACAAAGACAACTATCCCCTGGGTTGCCTTGACAGACAGTAAGGGGACAAGTGCGTTTTCAGTTTTCAGTTTTTCAGTTTAATTTATTAGGTATAACCCTATATTCATATTCTTAGCTCTTTCGGTAAAGTCACGTTGAAGGGAAACAATAAAATAATAAAAATATATATATAAAACAATAAAAAATTCTCACGACGTTCCGACCATAACACAAACGGTCGTCATCAGGTGACGACGTCACAAAGCTCTGCCGGTCGTCATCACCTGATGACGACCGTTTGTGTTATGGTCGAAACGTCGTGAGAATTTTTTATTGTTTTATATATATTTATTATTTTATTGTTTCCCTTCAACGTGACTTTACCGAAAGAGCTAAGAATATGAATTACTGCGGTCACGAAAGCTTTAAATCAAAATTTATTAGGTATAACCCTGTGAGCCATGCGGCTCTTGACTCGGGTGCGACCGCGAGAAAACAAAAACACGAACAAGAAAAACAAATCCTGGAAAAAACAGCAAAGTCTTCCAGAAAAAAAAAAACACCGCATTTCAACGCTGTGTGCAAAAAAAATATTCCCAGTGGGATGCAAGTCAAACAATAACAACCATAAAGACGATGTAGGTTAAAGTTATTAAGGCCAACTCTGTACTACAACAAACAAACATGGCCAGACCAAACCGTCCACAAAATCACCAAAATAAAGCCACAAAAACAAATGTAACAGTCGTCACAGGAACTGTGATTCAAATCCAACAGCAAACAATCACACGCGCTGAGCGAGTAGCAACCGATGAAGAACGCTGCGGCCGTCTGGAACGCTCTTCCTTCCCATATTAGGAAGCCGCTGGTAGCTACGCACTTTTAAATCATCATGATCTAGATTGACCAACTCCTTTCTTTAGAACAGCTTTGTTGTGTTTAATTTGTTGTCCTTCCCCCACACCTCCAATAATCACGGCTGGCTACGTACCGTGCAAAAGAAGTTCAACATGTGTACATTATACACTACACTACTATACACTACGCTACACCACTATACTACATTGATAACT